ATGGATGAATGGGCAGGTGGGTTGGTGGATTGGGGGACAGGTGGGTGGGTGGATGGATGGATGGAGGCATGGGTGGGTGGGCAGATGGATGGGGGCAGTGGGTGGGGGGATGGATAGAGAGAGGGGCAAGTGGGTGCAGGAGAGGATGGGTGAGGGGGTGAGTGGATGGAGGAAATCATGCCTATGCCCATGCTTGGGAAGGTGTATGAATGAATATCTGGGGGAATGGATGGATGAAAGAATATAGGAAATGAATTGTGCAGACATGGAAGAATTAATGATGGATGATGCATGAGTAGCTGGCTCACTGGGTAGGTGGGTAGATAAGTAGAGAATAAATGGGTAGATAATCAGTGCATGCATAATGGAGGGTTGGAGGAATGGAGAATGGATGGATGGGTGGATGGATGGATGGATGGATGGATGGATGGATGGATGGATGGGTGGATGGATGGTTGGATGGATGGATGGATGGATAGATAGGTGGATGGATGGATGGATGGATGGATGGATGGATAGGTGGATGGATGGATGGATGGATGGATGTATAGATGGATGGATGGATGGATGGATAGGTGGATGGATGGATGGATGGATGGATGGATAGGTGGATGGATGGATGGGTGGGTGGATGGATGGATGGAAGGATACATGGATAGGTGTGTGAGTGGACTCCTCACTCACCTGGCAGGCCTCTGGGACACACTGGGTGGGGTCCATACACAGTACATTGGGTTCAATGCTCATGATTTCTGGGCTCTATCTGCAGTAGAGACCTTCACAGACTTCCTAGTCCAGGAGTGGCCCATGAGTCTGCTGGAGAGACTGAGGAGGAGGAAGAAGCTGTGGGAGAAATGGGAGACAGGGAATGACAGAGTCTTGTCTTGGCCACAACCAGAGAGCGCTGTTTGCATTCAGGGAGAGGTACCATGGACAGGGTTGTGGGGCTCTTGAGGGAAGCCAGGGCTCAGGCTTGGGGGTGGGCGGAGAGGGCAGGGACTGGGAAGTGGAGAGCAGCACGGCTGGGTTCAGGGCGGAGTTGGGTGGAAGGATGTCTTCTCCACCCCAGATGGGGGCTTGTTTCCTTCACTTTTTCCCAGCCGGTCACCCAGCAGAAAGTGCTTGGGGAGCTGGGTGGAGGCCAGGGGATGGGGATGGCTGGATTGCAGTGACAGTGAGGGAGGGTGTGATGACCCCCCCCCCCCGCGGTGGTCTGCACCTCGCTGGCAGTAGTTCCTAGGAGCAGAGAGGAGGGTGAGCTATCCAGATAGCGAGGCTGGACGGGGAGGGACACAGTGCTCACCTGTGTCTACTACCCCAGGCTTCCTGGTGAGTGCCGGCCTCCCCCATGCCCTCCAGAAGCTCTAGGTCAGGGAGGCAGGAGAGGAGCAGAACTCTTCAGCAGACAGGCGCTCTGGTCTCATTGATCCCCCTTCCACTTACACATCAGGAAACTGAGGCCCAGAGAAGATCAGTGACTTGCCCAAGGTCACACAGCAAGCTGGGATCAGAACCACCCACAACGAAGTTACCTGATTCCTAATTCCAATCTCCACCTAGACCAGGCCTGGGCCAATGTTTCTTTCCTTCTCAGAAGTCAGCGATTGCATAGTGGGACACAGCAAGACCACAAACTCCTCTCCAGGCTGATGACAGCAGACATGACTTCTGCCACCAGAAAACCAACGGCATGGGTGTGGGAGCCTGACTGTCTGGGTTTGGATTCCAGCTCTGCCATGAATGGCTGTGTGACCTTGGACAAGTGACTCAACCTCTCTGGCCTGTTTCTTCCTCTACAAAATGGGAGTAATGTAGTCCTTCCCTCGTAGGTTGTTACGCAGGGCGAGTTCATGCACGTAGGGTGTGTGGACAACATCCATGGGTAGGAGCATGTGGCTCCTGTGTGTGTATGTGGGAGTAAGTGTGAGCTCATGTGTGAGCACGCACAAGTAGGAGGGCCTTGACACACATGCGAGTGTGTGTGTGTGTGTGTGTGTGTGTGTGTGTGTGTGTGTACCAGCTCCCGCCTGCATCAGGGAACCCCGCAGCCTTCCCAAACAGGGGCACAGTCTGGGAGACCGTCCTTAGGTGGAAGCGACTCCCCCCACCTCTCCCTAGGCTGGAAGCTGGAGCCAGAGGTCAGGAGGTCAGCGGCCTGAGCTGGGCCCCTGGGAGCTGGGCCCGCAGAATGGGAGGAGACATCACGTTTGTGGGGTAAAGGAATGAACAAATTCACCCCCTCTCCATAGTACAGGCTTCTGAAACCCAGGGCCACCCTCTGGCCCCAGCCTCTCCCTATGGGCTCAGCTTTCTCTGAAGTCACTCAGGAGCACCCTGGAGGCCTGTCTTCCTTGCAGGGCCAGGCCTGGCTCAGTGGGACCTTTCCTGACCCTAATGGTCCCTGGCGTGGGCTGGGGACTGTGAAACCAAGGGGCAAGGCAGACCAGAGTTTCCTCCTTTCCTTTCCAGACACTGTGGTCCTGCCCAGGGGCACCAGGCCACCTCTTAGTCTCTTGGTCTCCCTTCCTGGGCAGGGTTTACCTGCAATCCTCCCAAACTTTGACCTTGGGGAAATCTCCCTCCTCATCAGAGCAGACACGCCCAAACAAAGCTTGCCCAGAGCCCACATGGAATTGATATTTTTTTGCCTTGAATTATTTATTTGTTTGTTTTTAAGATTTTATTTATTTATTTGAGAGAGAGTTGAGGGGAGGGGCAGAGGCAGAGGGAGAAGCAGGCTCCCTGCTGAGCAACGAGCCCCATGCGGGACTCAGTCCCAGGACTCTGAGATCATGACCTGAGCCAAAGGCAGATGCTCAACCGACGGAGTCCCCCAGGCGCCCCTGCCCTGAATTTTTGAAAGAGGATCTGTATAATCTTTACAGTGGTGAATTTGGTAAAAAGAAATTACTTGTTAGTGTGTAGGAGCGCATGACACCAATCCCAGGATCTAGCTCGGCGCTCAGCACTTAGCAGGTGCTCAGGAAACGTTTCTGGACTCGGTGGCACTCCTGACTTGAATCTGACTTCCTGGATGATAAGCCGGGTTGGTCTTACCAGTTGACATCAGGTAGAGGGAAGCAAGCGCCAAACTCAGCACGTATTACGTTTACTGTGATGTTTTCTGCTTGTAGTTTGGAGATTCTCAGATTTCAGCCCTTCTGGGAGACCATAGAAACATCACAGGCCTAAGAGCCTCATGGATAGAATGGGGCCATCCACACCTCACCCCCACAGCTGGTCTCCCTGGGCAAGGGGTGCCCCTCCGAGTCCCAGATACCAGCAGGGGCCTCTAAGAGCAAAGGGTTGGAGGCCAGACCTTCCTCGAGGAGCAGGAGGGCTCTCAGCCCTAGGATGGAATGTGTTTCCCTGGCCTGTCACTCTGCTGGGCCAGTCCCCACAGTCGCTGACAGCAAGCGGCTCTCTCAGTGCCTGGCCTGGGTGGGGGCCCCAGCCTTTGTAGCTGGCCGCCCCGCCCACCTCCAGCCCCATCCTTCTAATCCCTCATCCACACAGCAAGCCAGAGTGACCAGGGCCAGCTTCTTGGGTGCATGACCAGTGCCATCATGTTTCCAAGTGTGAAAGACCAGAGTGAACGGTGAGTGATAACCAGCCTCGCCGTGCTGGGGCGGGCGTCTCTACTGGACTTCTCCAGGTGAATCCATCCCGCTTCTCCTCTGTGTTCCGGCAACTCGGGCTTAAGAATAACTTCCCCTGGGCAAGTGGCTTTCTGTATGTGCTTGTGACCCATCAGAGCTCAGAGGAGTGAAGGGAAGCACTCAGGGCCCCTGGGAATCAAGCCTTGGAGCAGCCGCTCGGAACCGATCACAGTCAGGTGCCTGGCCATGAGCCACCTGATGGCAAGGTCACATCCATTTGGGAAGGTGAGCCAGGGAGGCTCCAGGAGGGGATGGCATCTGAGCTGGGTCTCTTAGGAGGGAGGACAGGGAGCCCCTTACAGTAGGCAGGGGGAACATGGAGCCAAGGTACAGAAGCAGAGAAGGGTAAGAGAGGGCAAAGCCCGGAGAGGAAGTTTCAGGCCCACAGATGCAGGCCAGAAGGTTTGGATTTTGATCTGAGAGCTGTAGGGAGCCATGGCCAGTGTTGGAGCCGCATGGAGCAGCATGGAGCAGCGGGACTCAGGGGGGATGATGCTTGCTGTGCACTGGGCAGCAGATGGGAAGAGCCCAGCCAGGAGGCAGTTAGAAGGTCCAGAGATGACAGTCACAAGCTTGTAGGGTGAAAGCCATGGGAGCAGGAAGACACCAAGGGACACACAGCCAATGTCAGAGACGTCAGGGGGCTGGGGGGAGCTGCAGCTGGGACTCAGCACCAGCGAGCCGAGCCTGGTTGGGAGGGAATGCACAGGGCCACATGCACTAGGCCAGCATCCTGGGGCCCCACATAGAACAGGTGCTCAGTGAAATGATCCTCCAGTGAGGGAAGGGAGGCTCCCGTTCTCTCTCCAGGTCAGCTCTGGCGGTGCCGTCCCCCATTTCCCACACCCCTCCTTTTGCACACCGTGCTCGTGGCCCCGGAAGAACCCTGGCTGGACCAGTAGGGGCACTGCCTGCCCACGGCTCCATCTCTGCTATGCACCCATATGGCTTCTCTCTCTCCATCTCTCCTCCCCCCTCCCTGTCCTTATCTTTCCCTTCTGTCTCCATGGCGACTCACCACCTCGCTCGCCTGCATCCCAGCCTCTGCCAGGGATTCTGGGCCTGGCTCCGTCCCTCCCTCCTCCAGAGCCCTGGTTCCCGCAGTCCTGTCTCCTCCCCCTGGGGTGAGTCCAGAGGCAGCCTCCTCTTCCCTGACTGTCACATCTATTTTCCAGCTCTGACGAGTCCGGGTCGGCTCCTCTGGGGAGACCATCCCCCACCCACCCACCCACCCTCCACCTGCCGCAGCTCAGCTGGCCCCTCCAGGAGGAAAGCCATCCCTGCTGCCGCTGACCGGGTCTCTGCCTCGGGCCTCCTCTCTCTGTTTGCAGACCTCTCCCCACTCCCAGCCCCCCCATGCCGAGGTCCGCCTTGTCAATCATCTCCTTTTGTCACCGGCTCAGCAAACAGGCAAGTCTTGGGGCCTGAGATCTGGGGGGGAGGACAGGTGGGGGTGGGAAGGGGCCACCTGGGGACGAGGGATGGGTCTGCGGAAGGGGGATGGAGGCCACTGAGACCCAGGAGGACAGAAATCTGGATTCTCTTCTAGATAATGTTTTATTCCAAACCACCCCCCCCCCAATTTTGTCTCCAAGGAGAGAAAACGGAGCTTCATGGGAAGCAGTCGCAACAGTTGGTAAGTGGCAGGGCCTGCCGGCAGGACTGCTCCAAGGCCTGCTCACTGTTCATGAGTCCAGGAACCCGGGCCCTGTGGTCACCAGCCTCCTGAAGGCTGCCCCAAGGGAGGTCTCAAAGCTGGCCCTGACTGGCTGTGGAGGGAGAGACAGGGAGAATCCGGTGGGTACAGCTCGGAGACCAAATCCAGCTCCGAGAAGGAGCGCAAAAGGGATCTTATAAAAAACAGGGCCATATGCCCCACCACTGGGAGACCCCCACCCTCTCCTGATGGTCCTACGGTATGCAGGTGTCACTCCTGGGGGGGTCTGGCCTAAGCCAGTGACTCCTGCTGGGAGCCGTTGCAGTGCAAGGCTGTGGGAGAGGGGTTTGGGGGAGCATTTGTACCCGGCACCAGGCACCCTAACAGCCCCATGAGGCAGGGGCTGCTAACCTCTCCTCTTGGCGGGTTAGGAATCCAGGGCCCAGGATCAGTCGTGCAGAAGTTCACCGTGGTGGGGGGGCAGGGTTAGGACTCCATCCCGGCTTCTCCTTGCCTGGAGCACTGATCCCATGTCTCCCCACTGCTCTGCTGTCCCCACTCTGGGGTCCCTGGCTCTGGGGTCCAAGTCAGTGAGGAACAGGCAGAATGTGGCCTCTCCGGGAGCACCCTGCACGCCCAAACTCCCGGCCTGTACTCCCTGCACACCGCCCCCCGCCCCCGCCAGGCAGCTCCCAACAGTCTGCTCTGCCGCCCCACCCCACCCTAGGTCCCACACGCCCTTCCCCAAGTTGGAGCTGGGCCTGGGGTCCCGGCCTGCGACGCCCCGGGAGCTTCCTGCCTGCTCCATCTGCCTGGAGAGGCTGCGGGAACCCATCTCGCTGGACTGCGGCCATGACTTCTGCACGCGCTGCTTCAGCACACACCGCGTCCCCGGCTGCGAGCCGCCCTGCTGCCCCGAGTGCCGGAAAATCTGCAAGCAGAAGCGGGGCCTCCGGAGTCTGGGGGAGAAGATGAAGCTCCTGCCGCAGAGGCCTCTGCCCGCTGTGCTGCAGGTCGGCGGGGGACCAGGCCTCGGTGCAGGGCGCAGGGCAGCTGGGGAGGAGGTGCGGCGTGGGGGGACCCAGCTGCAATCTCCCACGGACCCGGCGGCTTTGGCCCTATTCTAGGACATCAGGGTGGGGAACGGAGTCTGGGGTCCCATGGGCCCCGCCTGGCCGCTCAGGGAAACTTCCTTCTCCTGGCGCAGGAGACCTGTGCTGTGAGGGCCGAGCCACTGCTGCTGGTGCGAATCAATGCCTCGGGGGGGCCTCATCCTGAGGATGGGGGCCATCAACCGTTGCCTGAAGCACCCCCTGGCCAGGGACACCCCTGTCTGCCTCCTGGCTGTCCTGGGGGAGCAGCACTCAGGGAAGGCCTTCCTCCTCAACCACCTGCTCCGGGGCCTGCCCGGCCTGGTGAGGGCGGGGCTGGGGCAGGGAGCCAGGGCAGGGGACTGGGGGAGGGGGCAGGTTTTGGTGGGGGTGCTCCCAGCCTGGCTTTGGGCAGGGAATGGGGGCCGCATGGACCAATGGATGCTCTCTTTTTTGCCTTGCAGGAGTCAGGGGAGGGCGGCTGGCCAAGAGGAGGGGGGTCCCTGCAGGGATTCAGGTGGGGTACCAATAGCCTCATGAGGGGCGTATGGATGTGGAGTCACCCCTTCCTGCTGGGGAAGGAGGGGAGGAAGGTGAGGGCACGAGGGGCACCGGGGTTGAAGATTATTGGGTGAGGGAGCGGGGTAGTGAAGAGGTTGGGGGGGATGGGGAGATCATAGACAAAGGGGAGGGGAATGGAGGAAGCTTTGGGGGCAGGGACAGGAAGACGGGGTGGGCAGAGTGCAGGGACGGGGGAGCGCGTGGAGGAGTGAGGCAGCCCTGACCCCTTGGCTCTTCTCCCCCCTCCCCTGCCCCCTGTGCAGGTGGCCGTGTTCCTGGTGGACACAGGGGACGCCATGAGCCCAGAGCTGAGCAGAGAAACCAGGACCAAGCTCTGTGCCCTCACCACGATGCTGAGCTCCTACCAGGTGAGGGCGCTGTAACCTGGTGTCCTGCCACTTGGGCTCAGCTCCAGCTCGCTCTCTCCAGGACTGGGACATGACAGCCCCCCCCCCCCCCCCCCCCCTCGCGGCGCCCGGCGGCGCGGCCCCCCCCCCCCCCCCCCCCAGGTCGGGGCCACGCCCCCCCCCCCCCCCCCACGCTGGTCTAGGGACTGCTCTGGATGCTTACCCTGATCTCCCAGACTTCTGTGTCTGCAGCCCCCCACCCCTGCACAGATTCTGGGGTTGCCCCTGCAAGGGAGGGATGCCCCCAGTCCGGAAGTTCAAAAGGGAAGTCAAAGGTACAGCAGGGGCAGCAGGACCATTCCTGGGGCCTGCCTTCCAGTCCCTGGTCCCTTAGGACCAGCCCAGGCCCTGCAGGCTGCAGAGGCCCCTAGGCAGGTGTCTCCGGGGTCCCGGCCCCACGGTCGGCCTGCGAGCTCCTTCCTCACCGGGGTCTTCCCAGTATCTCTTTGCCTTTGCAGACCCTCTTCCATCTTGTTCTCCTTGGTTCCAGATCCTCAACACCTCCCCGGAGCTGAAGGATACAGACCTGGAATATTTGGAGGTGAGGAGGAAATCTGGTCTTGGGCTGCTGCTGCATCCCTGCCCCGACCATAAGGCCGGGACCTGGACCAGCTGTCCTGGGGTGCTCTTCACTTCCGGCCTAGGAGTTCGTGACCCGGAGCTGGGCTGGGGGGCTTGAGGGCAGAGGGTGAAGCACAAGATGCCTGGTTGGGAGAGGCACGAGAGTCCCAGAGCTAGGAGTGTGGGGGATGGGGAGGGTGTCAGGGTGGGGGTGGGGATGGGGGTCCCCCAGTGGGCCCAGGGGGGAGGGAGCCATAGTCCTCAGGGTGACCCCAGCCATGACCCTTGGTGCCTCATCCCCAGATGTTTGTCCGTGTGGCCGAGGTGATGGGCAGGCATTATGGGATGGTGCCAATCCAGGTGAGACACCCATTTCTCAACTTGTCACCCCAGACCCTAACCACCCCACCCCCCCGCCCACTGGCTGCTGGTGTCAGGACTCATTCTTTTCCAGCACCTAGATCTCTTAGTGCGTGACTCATCCCACTCCAACAAGGCCGGGCTGGGCTGCGTGGGTGACATCATCCAGGTGAGGGGTGCAGGAGGGGAAGAAAGGGGGATGGGAGAATGCGGCAGAAGGGGAGGGGTGGGGGGAGGATGCCAAGAGCAAGAGCCTGGTCCCTAGCTCAGAGGTCTCCGCATCCGTCTCTCAGAAATCCTCCGGCAAGTACCCCAAGGTTCAGGAGCTGCTCCAAGGGAGGCGAGCCCGCTGTTACCTCCTGCCCGCTCTGGGGCGGCAGTGGGCCAGCAAAGGACATGGAAGCCCCGGCGGTGAGTGTCCCCGGGAGCCCTCCTCCAGGCCACCCCCTGGCCCCTGGCCCCAGCGAGCTTCTCCCTCCCTCTGACACCCTTTCTCCTCCCAAAGCCCGGTCCTGCCCAGCCCTGGGTGTCCTCAGCATGAGGAATCTCTTCCTCAGACACAGATGACGATTTGGGCCACCTCTGTGCCTACGTGGCAGATGTGCTGAGCGCAGCCCCCCAGCACGCCAAGAGCCGCTGCCAGGGCTACTGGAGCGAGGGCCGCCCGGTGGCCAGGGGGGACAGACGCCTGCTCACGGGGCAGCAGTTAGCTCAGGAAATCAAGGTGCGCCCCCCACTCCCCCGCCATCCCCGCCCCAGGCCCCGGAGAGCCCGAGGAACCCCTGCCCGCCCTGACCCCTCCCCTGATGTCCCCGCAGAACCTCTCGGGCTGGATGGGGAGGACTGGGCCCGGGTTCGCCTCCGCAGACGAGGTACAGGGGGCAGGGGTGGGGAGGGTGGAGGGTCTGGGGGGGACGTCCCTGGGATGCAGCCGAGGGCGGGAGCGGGAGGAGGGAGGCAGCCTGGCTTTGCCGTGGACAGATGGCCGCCCAGCTGCACGACTTGAGGACGGTGGAAGCTGCCAAGAAGGAGTTCGAGGAGTACGTGCGGCAGCAGGTGAGCCGCGGCCCCCGCGCGGGAGGCCAGGCCCCCGGGCTACCGGGTGGGCGGTCAGCGCGCTTCCTGTCTCCCCGCCGCAGGACGTGGCCACCAAGCGCATTTTCTCCGCGCTCCGGGTGCTGCCCGACACCATGCGCAACCTCCTGGCCGCGCAGAAGGATGCCATCCTGGCCCGCCACGGGGCCGCCCTGCTGTGCAAGGGCAGAGAGCAGACCCTGGACGCCCTGGAGGCCGAGCTGCAGGCCGAGGCCAAGGTCTTCATGGACTCGTACACCATGCGCTTCTGTGGCCACCTGGCCGCCGTAGGGGGCGCCGTCGGGGCCGGGCTTATGGGCCTGGCGGGTGGCGTGGTGGGCGCGGGCATGGCCGCGGCCGCGCTGGCTGCCGAGGCCGGGATGGTGGCGGCCGGAGCCGCGGTGGGGGCCACGGGGGCCGCCGTGGTCGGGGGCGGCGTGGGCGCTGGCTTGGCTGCCACTGTGGGCTGCATGGAGAAGGAGGACGACGACAGGGTGCAGGAAGGGGACCGAGAGCCCCTGCTGCAGGAAGAGTGAGGGCGCCCAGGAGGCCGAAGGGAGGGAGAGATGCCAGGTGGGGGGGAAGGAGGTGCGGGAGGGGAGGGGTTGGGGGTGGTGCGGACGGCCCACCCCGCCGTGTGCCGCACTGTCCCGTTGGAAAGCCCAGTGTCTGGGTGGCTGACTGAGCTGGACAATCGAGGTGGCTCCAGGATCCCTGGAGAGCCCGCCCGGGCCCAGGAGGTGGTGTGTGGGGGCAGGGAATAGAGTACAGGACCTGTTTCTGGTGGCAGACCATCAACCTGCCAGGTTCCCAGGTCCGCTGGGCCCCAGTGTCTCCTACCAAGAGTGAGGCTCCATGCTCCCCCCTGGCTTATTCCCCCCTGATGACCCTGGACTGTAGGAAGGCTGAGAAGGTGCCCTTCTGGAAGTCTCCCCTGGGGAGAGAGGATTCAGCCCTTTACAGATGGGAGAAGTCCCAGGTGGAGTGACCTTGGTGCTCAGGCTCCGAACACAAAGGAGGGGCTGAGGGGAGAAAGAGAAGGAGGGGCCACCGGGCAAAACCAAAGAATCCAGGTATGGTGGACAGGGGCCTGAACCCCAGAGTGGAGCTGCTTGATCTGACGACACTTCCCCAAGCTGTCCCAGGAGGATAATGGTGGCCTCCCCCACCCTCTGCCTCCCCACGGAGGCTACCTGTGCACTTTGAATGGGGGTCCCTGCAGCCGTCCCCTCATGGTTGTGTCCTTTGTCGAGCCTGCTCAGACAGCAGAGTGCCCAAGTTCTTTCTGGAATGCCATCCGCGCCATGCGTTAGATGCCAAAGAAAAACACCAGTTGTTGCACTCTGAGCTAAACCAGGCAGCGCTCCCAAGTCTGAAGTCCCATAAGGGACAGCAAAGGGAACACTTTCCACCCTGATCAAGGGCACGCCCTCTTTCCCGAACCCATGTCTGCAGGAGACCTGGGTGCAGCCCTCCACAGGAACCCAGAGGGCCCAGCGCCCTTCCACGGGACAGGGAAGTCCTGCCGAAAGACTTCTAGGCTATTACCCTGTAAAGTATTCGTGGGCGCGTTATATGAAAAATAAAATGTGTTTGCTTGAGCCTCAGCTTCCCAGTAAATTATTGACACAGGACTTGAATTCAGCCTCCAGAGGGCTTTGGGGCACAGGGGTCGGGGAGGTAAATAAAGGCGCTCCACTGTGGGGAAGACGGAGGCTAAAATTCAAAAGATCTGGGAGCTGAACATTCAAAGCCCCACATGGGGGTTGTAGGAGGGCTCAGGTCAAAGGCCAAGGGCACAGCGATCTTCCACTAGGACTAGGAGGTCCTGCTCCCCTCGTCTCTCCTGCTGCAGATGACCCTGCAAACAGACTGTCACCTGAAATCTATCCTGGCAGAAGGAGCGAGTGGGGGCATAGCTGGGGTGTCCTTGCTAAAGCCTGGGAGGAAGGAGGAGCCCAGGCCCACCTCTGCAGGGCTCAGCCAGCCAGGCGTTCACCTGCTGCTTCTCCTCTGCCTCAGTTCCCCATCTCAGAATTAGAGCAGGGCCACTGTGTCCAAACCCTGCCTTTCCCCGATGCAAACCCCGAGAGGGGAGTCAGCTAATGCTCCCCACCTGGCCTGAGGCGGAAGCCAGGGAGCTCCAAACTCCCAAGCACGCAGCTGGTGTCCCCCACACACGTCAGAAGAGAGATGTTTTTTTTAAGGTCAGACGTGCTGAAATCAAGATGCTCTTCTTTGGTGATTTCTCCCCCCATTCCTCCCGTTCAGCTCTGGGAAACAGTGTTGTGGGGACTGAGGCAGAAGGACATGGTCTGGGACACATGGCCCAGCAGGAAAAGCTTCAGTTAGGAAACTGGGGACAAAATAATGACACAAAGAAATCCCAAGGCCCGGGTTGGGGACAGGTGGGTGAAGACAGAGGTCTGAGGGTGATTCTAACTTTTGGGGAAAGAGCCAGAGGTAGGGGTAGGGTCCAGACTTTGTCCGGTGTATGCCGAAAAAGGTTTCCTGGGTTGGTCCCCTCCATCATGTGGTGGGCCCATGAGCTACAACCCCCCCCCAAGACTTTGGCGCTGCCAGCCTTAGACCTTTGTGGGGGCCTCCGAAGAGTCCCTGAGGGAGGGTTTTGTCTAGCTAGACTCCCACCTAACAGCGCTGGAAGGAGCTGCCCTGGGCTACTTCACCCTGATCTTTGAATGGAAGTCAGCTGTCAGCCAAGTTGGGGAAGGGCTCGGCAGAAGAGAGATGAGTCACGTTATGTAGTATTTGTGCCTTTTAGTTTCAAAGCGTCTTCCTAAACCTCACCTTCCTTAAGTCTTGAAACCATTTCATACCGCCCATAGTGTACCCATTCCTATGGAAGCTCAAAGACATGGCCACTCAGACGTAAGCCAAGACTTGAACCCAAGGCTTCTGATGTCTGGTTCCTTGCTTAGGTGAGCCCTCACCCCACAGTTCTCTCCAGACTCCGTGACCAGGCCACTGGGTCCCAAACCCAATTAGGGGGCTTCCCGGGTTTCCAACATCCCTTCTGGAATTCACAAGAGCCCACATGGCTCTGTGCTCAAGGTCCTGACGGGGTGCTAAAGCCTGGCTGATTTCTATGACCTGTTGAAAGTCACGGACACCAAGATTCTCAGGTGAAGTTTCTGGGTTAGAGATCTGGGGATTTGGCTCACAGTTCCTGCTTTGGAGGTCAGTCCCAATGTTGGAGATGGCCTTTTTAAATCCTGCTGCGGACTGAACCCCACCCCCATTCTATTCATATGTCAAAATCCTAATCCACCATGTGATGGTATTAGGAGGTGGGACATTTGGGAGGCAATGGGCTCATGAGGCTGGAGCCCTCACAAATGGAATTAGTGCCCTTGGAGAAGAATCCCAGAGAGATCACTAGTCCCTTGGCACCAGGTGGTAGCCAGCCATCTATGAACCAGGAAGTAGGCTCTCACCAGCCACCACACCAAATCTGCTGGCCTCATGAGGTTGAACTTCTGAACCTCCAGAACAGTTTGATATAAATATTTGTTGTTTGCAAGCTAGCTGGTCTGTGGTGTTTTGTTGTAGTAGCCTCTTGATGGCGTGGAGCGGGAGGGCCTAGTTCCCTGGACTTGTGCTAAACCATGCCCTGGGCAAGGAAGAAACTTCACCTGCATTAAGGGAATGAGATACATGGGTTTATGTATTACTGTATCAGAGCCTATCCTAACCCTAATTCACGTGGAAATTTGCTCCTTGAAATGGGGTAAAAACCTGAAATATCGTGGGCTGGTGGTGGGCGGTGAGGAAACACATGGCTGGCTCCATTTTATGTCCATGTTATGTAACACAGAAGGCAGACTCTTGCACTGTTGAGGAAAACACTTTTGTTTCTTTTTTTTTTTTAAACATATAATGTATTATTTGCTTCAGGGGTTCAGGTCTGTGAATCATCAGGCTTACAAAATTCACAGCACTCCCCATAGGACATACCCTCCCCAACATCCATAACCCAGCCACCCTACTCCTCCCCCTCCGACCTGCAACCCTCAGTTTGTTTCCTGAGATTAAGACTCTCTTATGGTTTGTCTCCCTCCTGATCCCTTCTTGTTTCATTTTTTCCCTCCCTACCCCCCTACTCCCTACCCCTACTCCCTCCTTATCCCTACTCCCACCATGACTCTGAAATTCCTCATATCAGAGAGATCATATGATAATTGTCTTTCCCCTGATTGACTTATTTTGCTTAGTGTAATACCCTCTAGTTCCATCCACGTCATGGCAAATGGCAAGATTTCTGGGTTTCTTTGATGGCTGCATAGTATTCCATTGTATTTATACACCACATCTTCTTTATCCATTTATCTATTGATGGACATCTAGATTCTTTCCATAGTTTGGCTGTTGTAGACATTGCTGCTATAAACATTCAGGTGCATGTGCCCCTTCGGATCACTACATTTGTGTCTTTAGCGTAAATACCTGGTAGTGCGATTGCTGGGTCATAGGGTAGCTCTATTTTCAACTTTTTGAGGAACCTCCATACTACTGTTTTCCAGAGTGGCTGTGCCAGCTTGCATTCCCACCAACACTGTAGGAGGGTCCCCCTTTCTCCCCATCCTCGCCAACTTCTGCCATTTTCTAACTTGTTAATTATAGCCACTCTGACTGGTGTGAGATGGTATCTCACGGTGGTTTTGATTTGTATTTCCCTGATGCTGAGTGATGTTGAGCACTTTTTCACGTGTCTGTTGGCCATTTGGATGTCTGCTTTGCAGAAATGTCTTTTCTTGTCCTATGCCCATTTCTTGATTGGATTATTTGTTCTTTGGGTGTTGAGATTGATAAGTTTCTTTATAGATTTTGGATACTAGCCCATTACAGATAAAGGCATCCAGATATGTCATTTGCAAATATCTTCTCCCATTCTTTGGAATTGTTGGTTTTGTTGACTGTTTCCTTTGCTGTCCAAAAGCTTTTGATCTTGATGAAGTCCCAATAGTTCATTTTTGCCCTTGCTTCACTTGCCTTCGGTGGTGTTTCTAGGAAGAAGTTGCTGTGGCTGAGGTCGAAGAGGTTGCTGCCTGTGTCCTCCTCAAGGATTTTGATGGATTCCTGTCTCACATTGAGGTCTTTCATCCATTTTGAGTCTATTTTTGTGTGTGGTATAAGGAAATGGTCCAGTTTCATTCTTCTACATGTGGCTGTCCAGTTTTCCCAACACTGTTTGTTGAAGAGACTGTCTTTTTTTTCCATTGAACATTCTTTCCTCCTTTGTCAAAGATTAGTTGACCATAGAGTTGAGGGTCCATTTCTGGGTCCATTGATCTATGTGCCAGTACTATACTGTCTTGGTGATTACAGCCTTGTCATAGAGCTTGAAGTCTGGAATTGTGATGGCGCCAACTTTGGTTTTCTTTTTCAACATTCCTCTGGCTATTCAGGGTCTTTTCTGGTTCCGTACAAATTTTAGTATTATTTGTTCCAGCTCTGTGAAAAAAAGTTGATGGTATTTTGTTAGGGATTGCTTTGAATGTGTCGATTGCTCTAGGTA